CAACCTGAACCTTTACAGCCTCCAACAAATGCAAGTAGCCAAGCTCACACTAGATATAATAGTTGGCAACAAGCCAATAAAGTGGCTCTTCTTATCATTCAAAGTCAAATTTCTAAACCATTAAAGGTTGGCATTCCCATATCTCATACTGCTAGGGAAACCCTTAATACTATCAAGAGTCAGTTTGTAGGCTGCACAAAGGCCATGATCATAAGTTTGCTTTCCTAACTCTTTCTTGCAAAATTTGAACAACTTGGGAGTATGAGAATTTATTAGTAAAGTTTATTGGATTATTTATCAACTACACGATCTAAAGATGAACCTGGATGACGATTTCCTTGTTTATGCGGTGTTATCTACTTTGCCCAAATCATTTGAAACCTTTATGGTTAATTACAACACTAGTACTCACAAATGGAGTGTGAATGAGTTGATAAACCATTGTATTCTAGATGAGAGACAGAAGAAAAGCAGAATTGAATCTGCACATGTTGCTACTTTGGGGCCAAAGAAGAAACTGTTTAAGAACAGAAAAAATGAGGAAAAACCATAAGTATAACCCTAAGGAGATACTTTGGACATACCCTTAAATGCATGGTGGATTGATTTTAGGTGCACTATTCACATTTCAAATACCTTACAGGGGTTCTAAACATAAGGAATGTTGATTTGGAGAGTATCCACATCTACATGTGGAATGAAGAGCGTGTTAGAATTTTAAAAGTTGGCACTTAAAGACTTATCTTAGAATATGGATTCACACTAGATTTTCTTGACACTTATTATGTGCCTTCTATTAGAAGAAACTTAATTTCAGTTTCAAAGTTAGATACTTGTGGGTATTCATTTTATTTTTCTAGAGGAAACCTTACTATTAGTTATGGTTTGAATAATATTGGCTTTGCAACTTGTTTAGATGGGTTTTATAAGTTAAATCTTGATCAAKCATATGCAAAATCATTGTTTATTGTGAATGTTGAATCTTGTCATGTTGATAGTTTGCCACTTAAAAGAAAAGAGATGGGACCTTCATCTATGCTTTGGCATCGAAGGTTAGGGCACATATCCAAAGATCATCTTAATTAGACTAGTAAGAGAGGGAATACTACCAAGGGTAAATTTTGTCGATATTAATGATTGTGTAGATTGCCTTAAGGGTAAAACGACTAGAAAACCATTTCCCAAGGGTACTACTAGGTGTACTGATCTCCTCTAGATCATTCACACTAATATTTGTGGTCCTTTTAAAGTTCCTGCTCGATGTGGACATGGATACTTTATTATGTTTACTGATGATTGTTCTAGATTTGTTATCTATATCTAATTGGGAAAAAATCAGATGCCTTACAAACATTCAAGGTTTACAAATATGGATTGGAAAGAAGTTGAATATGAATCACCTACTTGTGTGGGATTGTGCTATTGAAGCTAAGATTCTATCCCCACGATTACCTAAAACTTCATCCAAATCCATTAGTTGTTACTTTGTGAGGTATCCAGAAAGATCAAATGGATATAGGTTGTATGATCTATCAAACCCTAACTCTACCATCATCGAATCAAAGGATGTGAAGTTTCTTGAAATTGATAATAATAGTTTTCAAGGGAGAAAAATTCAAATAGAAGACTTGATAGATGAAGTTTTATCGAGTCTCACTCCAAATGTTATTCCAAATGATGTTGATGTTGGACTCTCACAAAGGCCTCAAAGAGTCAGGAGATCTGCAATTCCAGATGATTACATTGCATATGTTGTTGAATTTGATCATGTGGACAATGATCCTAGAAATTATTTAGAAGCCTTAAAACATCATAATTTTGAGTGATGGTTGGAATCCATGAAAGAGGAAATTAAATCTATGGAACATAACTTAGTATGGGAGTTGGTTGACTTGTCGAAGGGGAGTAAACCCATTGGTTGTAAATGAGTCTTTAAGACCGAAAGAGGCTATGATGGAACCATTGAGAAATTTAAGGCACGATTGGTTGTAAGGGATTCACTCAAAGAGGAGTAGATTACGATGAGACCTTTTCACCAATATCCAAGAAGGATTTTTTATATGCATTAATGGCATTGTTTGCTCACTATGACTATGATTTATTTCAAATGGATGCAAAAATTGTTTTTCTCATTGGAGAATTGGAAGAAGTTATTGATATGCTTTAACCTGAAGGTTTTGTCATAGAAGGAAAAGAACAAAAGGTCTACAGATTAAAAAAGTCTATTTATGGACTTAAGCAAGATTCAAGGTAGTGGTATGTCAAATTGCATTCTATCATAACAGGATTTGGATTCAAAGAGAACATCTCAGATAATTGTGTCTATGTGAAGGTCAATTGGAGTAGAATTGTTTTTTTGATATTATATGTTGATGGCATTCTCTTAGTAGGAAATGATCGGACAATGTTGTTAGAAACTAAGCAATTCTTATCTACCTAATTTGACATGAAAGGTCTTAGTGAGGCATCCTATGTTTTGGGAATCAAAATATACCGAAATAGAAAGTTGAGACTTCTAAGCCTTTATCAAGAAGCTTACATAAAGAAGATGTTGAAGAAATTTGGCATGGACTCTTGTTCTTCTAGAGAGTCTCCTTTTGTTAAAGGGGACACTTTAAGTCTTGATCAATGTCCTAAGAATGATCTGGAGCAGCAAAAGATGAAGAACATCCCTTATGCATTTGTAGTTGGGAGCCTAATGTATGTCATGATTTGCACTAGACCTGACTTGAGTTTTATAGTAGGAATGTTGGGGAGATATCAAAGCAATTCAAGATGGAAACATTGGCAAATAGATAAAGATGTAATGAGATACCTTCAACGAACAAAGCACTACATGCTTGTTTATGGCCAAGTTGAAAATCTGGAGGTGATTGGAAAGCTGACTCTGATTACAATGGATATCCAGTCTCTAGAAAATCTACTTCTGGGTGTGTTTTTATGATGGTTGGAGTAGCCAAAAGAAGACATGCATGGCTCTATCTACCATGGAGGCAAAGTGCATATCTTTTTATGTGGCTACAAAGAATGCCATATGGTTGAGAAACCTTCTAAGAGAATTGTTCATCATTGACTCTGTATCTAGACCCTTACAACTTTATTGCGACAATTCTGTTGCAATTGCACTTTTAAAGAATGTGCGACATCACTCAGAAAGTAAACATATCAGTGTCCAGTATCATTTTGTTCGTAAAAAGGTGCAAGATGGGTCAATAACTATTTCTTATATTGCTTCAAAAAGCAATCTGACAAATCCTATTACTAAAGGACTTCCAATTAGTATATTGAAACAACACGTTAGTGATATGGGAGTCCATGATGTAAATGAATTTATTTAATTAGTGGGAGTTTGTTTTGTTAAATTGTAATTTCATTTGTTATTATGTGCACATTTGATTTGGGCAATTGATAACTATCATTTGTCCTTCGTCATCCTGATATCTAGATGACATATACCATTATGGTTTGTTGGCCATTTTTGGGGTTGTGAGCTCATTCTATTATACCCATTTTATACCTTTTAACTTGGGAAGGGTGATTTTGTAAATATTTTAACATGAAAATGGGTTTGCTTGCACTAAATTAGCAAGGAACCCTTCATGCTCAAATATTTATTGAAGTCATTAGAACCAAGATTGTTGATTTCCTTGCTTTGGCCCTATGAACATTTTTCATAGAATAACAACGGACCAAGTGAGAGATTGTTAGACTAACCACATTCTCACATAGGTTGGTCACGTTGTTGCATTCACTGGGATGTTAGAGAATTGAAACGGAGGACCTTTTGATTACCTCAAGAATATGTATAAATAGAGACGGTCACCACTCGGCCAAGTGCTCATTTTTCAATCTATTTCCCATCTTATTAGAGGCTTGGAGTCGAGTGGAGACTCGTTTACGAATTAGATTCCAGTGGGATCAAGTTTGCTGCTTAGAGAGATGGAAGGTATGTTTTTCTTTGATATTTGAATGTAAATTTGTTAAGAATTGTCTTTAGATCCAATTTCCATTGTTTTATCTTCCAAACATCATCACCAGTGTTTCTCATTGAAAGCAAGAGGCATGTGCCACCCTAACATCTGTGAAGATCCAATCAACCAGCATCTGTTGCAACTTTGATTTCCCTTCTGACGTTCGGCAAGAGTCGATCGCCATTCATCCAGGGAACTAGGGAAGAGGTCTTGTTTGGTAGTCACTTACACCGGAGTCATACTTTGGGGAAGAAGCAAATTAGAGAATGTGCGAGCAAGGTTGTCTTCCGCCATTAAAAGCATCCAAAGGCCAAAAATTCATGGAAGGGTGTATAAGAAAGAGATTAAAGACAGCAAAGGAAGCACAAGGAACAAGAGAGGGGAAAGTTTGTAGGTCAATGGGCAGTACCGATAGCAAGAAGAGAATGCCTTGATTGACATACCATGTGACTTCCATTCCTTGCTGATTCTGATATCCCTCCTGAAAAAATACTGGATTTTATCATGAAAATTTTCATTATAGTAGACCGACACATGAATACAAGTATTGGTATTGGAAGAGCAATGCCATTGCCAGCCACACCAGCACAACCATCACCAACCACAAGGAATTACTACTTACTAATACACAGACCCGTGGCCATTGATTGTTCCTCATGATTGGTGAATAGTGAATGGTGATGGGCCTGATGGCATCACCCCCAGGAATGCAACTTAGGCGGTCCAACCCTTGGAATCGGACCTAAGGCTTGTATCTCCAAACCTGTTCTACTAGAATTGTTCTTGGAAGTTGGAAGGCTACCATAGAACACAAACAGAAAAGCCAGTTAACTCAGTGTTGAGAGGCACATTGATTCCAATCACCTCCAGGGTTCTTAACAGTGATAGTCTTGATAACATACATGCACGGGGTGGCTGGATGCCATGCTCTCAGAGTTTTTGCTTATAATACTAAAATAGAATGGTATTCCAGAAAACGATATTTGAAAGGTATTGATAAAGAGTTTTTGGAATACAGACCTCGCAATGTAATTAAAAATCACCAAAGATGCTGATTAACTAGGCAATTCCATCCATCTGGAACTCTGGATCCATTGCAGTATGAGTTAATGGTTAACACAATGAGCTTTTGTGCATAACTTACACAGAGGACCCTTTACACAAACGAAAAATGCTGAAAATCTAAGTTAAACCCCATCAGAAATCAACAGACAAGAAAAAAAAAAAAGAGGGGCTGGAGTGAGGAGGCCTCTGGGACAGGAAATTCAAGTCCACAGAGCAAGATAGAGGGATTATATAGACGAAAGATCCTCGTATACTGATTTAATCCCTGGCCTTTCTGAAATAGAGCGTATACATCTCAAAGCTATTCCTAGGACCTCCTTCATGCCTTTTTCTACTGCTGGAATCCCCAATTCAGGAGTCAGTGCAGCATCAAAGCAATCTGAGCCGTGCCCCTCTGCCACCCTCAGCCGCACCCAATCCGTTAGATCAACACCACCCTCCTCGCCAGAAACCACATCACCAGCACACTTCCCTGTCAGAAGTTCCAATAATATCACCCCAAAGGCATATATATCTGACTTGAAGGAGGGAGTGGGCTTCTTTGCGGCAGCTAATTCTGGTGCTCGATATCCTAATACACCTGCATCTAGGATCTGTTCAACGGTACCTGCCTGGGTCATGAGGCGGTGCAGGCAGTAATCAGCAACACGAGCATTAAGATCAGGCCCATCTAAGAGTATGTTAGTTGCTTTGAGGTTGCCATGAGGTACTGATCTATCAAAATGGAGATAGTTTAGGCCACGTGCAACATCAACTGCAATTTTGAGACGCTGGGTCCAAGTCAGTTGAGGTCCTTTTCTTCCTGGTCGATCTGAAAACAAAGAATTACCAGATTAGAAGGAAATAGAGAATTTTCATAGAAGAAAAAAAGAAACATAAACTCATGTGTATAGATAAATACATTGGGTGTAAGCTAGACAAGTTTATTCGCATGCTACTCGGGCTTCACTAACTAAATACTCGAACCCGGCTGAAAGTAATGAAAAATGAAAAAGAACCAGGCACTTACTGACCAAAAAAATACCCACTCTAGTGGTACCAAGCTAGTTTCCATGAATTTTCTTATACAAAAGAACATGCATACCAGAAGAAACCAGAAAACACCAAAAAATATTTTCATTTAACAGGTTACCAAAAAAAGAAAAGGGAAAAAGGACAATGATCATCCGTCCTTGGGAAAGGAACAGCATTCCTAAGACTTACTTATAGAACAGTTTGGAATGCAAATTCAACTATTAAGTAGATGCACATGTGAACTGTCTCTACAACCACCAAGGTAGTGGACTCAAATTCCTAAGCAGTATGATTTTCCAAATGAACACACAGTGGGCTTGTTGTCCATCCCAAAGGAATTGATTAGGTTAGCGTGACAGGACAATCCATTGAATTCTTTTGGATAGCCAAACTAACAATCCAAAATGAAAACCTCCATCCTAATGTAATGTTAATTTCAGTGCATGTTTTAGCTACAAATCTCAGAGGTAGCTCAATAATTGGATAGTCTAGCTCCAGTGCATTAATAGATGGGAGTCAGATTTCTATTTACATTTTATGTATTTATCATGCCTAGTCAAGGTTTCACACTTGAAGGTGTTTAACAATTAGCTGTCTAAGATATCATTCTTGGGTAGGAAAATAATACTCAAAGTACTTTGTAACAAATAATTGAAAAAGAAATTACAAATTATAAAGCAAAATAAATTGGTAAAACAGCAGAAGCAGCCCAATCAACAGTCATTTCAGGAAATCCAGTTCATTACTAGGAAAATGAAAGAAAGAAAAGGGAAAAACAACAGAGAATAACAACCCATGATCTATCATTCATAGGAAAAGAACAAGAAGAAAGAATAAGATAGGAGTGGCCATCGAGTAGGTATGCAATTAGGTATCTGAACTAAACAAGCCAAAGAGACTGATACGAAAAAGATAACCTTAAAAATTCAATCAATCAGCTATTTCTAGACAACCATATAAATGATTGACAAAATTAAACTAATCAGATTCAACTGGTCACTTCAAGGTTTGATCCGTCCACAGGGTGCAAATCTGGTATGTCAGTACAAATGAACAAGAATAGAAGAATTCTGATAACAATTCAACTATGACCAACACAAGGATAAATGCACAATAGTAGAGAGGGGCAATACCATAGAGAAAGCTTGCAAGGCTTCCAGGTGAGATATAGTCTGAGAGAATGAGCTTCTCATGCTGAGTGGGCCCCCAATAGTATCCCCGCAAGCCAACTACATTTGGGTGCCTGATATTTGCAAACTTCTTAGCCTCCTTCGCAAACTCCTTTCTCTGTTTTGCCACCCCTTCTCTCAACCACTTCACAGTCAAGAACAACCCATTATCCAGAGTTGCTCTATAAGAAGTCCCATGGCTACTCCTCCCCAATACTTCAGCAGGAGCCCTTGACAATTCCTCTGGTGTCAGGGTTAGAGAATCATCCAGAAAATACAGCTCACCAGCCAATCGGTCTGGTGACCTCACATCAAGCCTTGCCAAGTTTTCTGCAGTGAATGAATCACCAGAATCTGGTGACCATGAGAAATGGCTGTGCTTTGATGGGGAGAAACCAGTAACTGCAGCCATTTTCTCATCTGGGCTTACTATCTCAGATGAAGATCCCTTTCGTGAGGCTATAAGATCATCAGCTGAAACAACCAAAGCACCGCCACTGTCCCTTCCATGAAACCCTGAAGGATTTGATGGTACCCGTCTACTAAGATTTTTGCTTGTGATATTTTCAGGTGGAGGCCTCCTTGATATCCGTATGTAGTGTATAAAGATGGCTAACAGGACCAGAATGACCGCAGCAACCACACATGTTATTATCACTACCAGTTTGATCACGGTTTTTATTGGTTTTCTAGTGGGCTTTCGAGATGGAAAATTGCTAGATCCTGGTGAAGCTGCAGGAAGTTTTAATCCAGGATTTCCAGGATGGAAAGAAGAATCTGGAAACTTCCTCAGGTTCATTGGAACAACTCCAGATAAATCATTGTATGATACATTGAAGCTCTGAAGGGTGTTAGGTAAGTTATCTGGCAAGGGACCTGAAAAGTGATTTTGGGATATATCTAGTGAAATTAAAGAACTAATCTCAGATACAGAAGATGGTATAGAACCAGAGAAATTGTTCCCTGCAAGGCGAAGCACTTGAAGTCCAGTCAAAGACCCAAAACTATCAGGAAAATAGCCTTCAAATTGGTTGTGAGAAAGATCAAGAACTTGAAGGCTGGGTTTGTTTGAAGGAGAGGCAAACTTAATGCTTCCAGTGAGCCTATTGTTTTCTAGATGAAGTTCTTGCAATGTGGGCAAAGTTAACAGCTCAGTCAGAAGGGGGCCATTGAATTGGTTGGAACTGAGATCAAGGACTACAAGTTTAGGATACTGTGCCAGAACTGTTGGGAGAGAACTGCTCAGAAAATTGTATGAGAGATTGAGATAATTTAGGCGTAAAAATTGTGAGGTTACATCAGGAATTGAACCCGTCAGCTGGTTCTGGCTGAGATCAAGAAACTCAATATTATTCCCCCATTTCACCATTTTGGATAAATCTCCTGTGAACTGGTTTTTTGATAGATCTAATACAATGATGCTCCCAGTCAGCAATGGAAGTTCACCAGAAATTTCATTTGATGAGAGATTAAGGATGGTCAAAGTTGTCGATGTGATCATGCTAATTGGCCCTGAAAGATGAACAAAAACAGTGTCATATAAAACTGCAAGACTAGTTGCAAGGAACCAGTTCAAATTAAAAGAAAATGCAATTTGCCTGTTAAGAAATGGCATCAAATTTGGCTAAGTAATAAACATAATGGTATACCTATACGCAACATTGGAGGAAGAAATCTTCATCTTCATACACAAAAATCCTTTTATGTATAAAATAAAAAAAAAGTGCATGATGCAGGAGGGAAGAGAATGTCATTAACATCAAAATATTTTTATAAAAATCAGTTATTTCAGAAGTACCTGACAGATTGTTAGAACTCAAATCCAGTTCTGTTAGAACCAAAGAATCTCCTTTTAGAAGTCCATTAGGTACAAACCCTGAAAACCTGTTGTTTCCAAGCCTCAGAACTTCAAGCTCATATGCGAAATTAAATTCAGGCAATTCTCCTGACAGTTGATTGTAGCTGAGATCCAATACTTGCACGCTTCCGAACATGGAAAACTCGCCATCATTGACCAGTGACCCAGTCAGGTGGTTGTTGCTTAGATTCAAATGCTTGATAGTTTCAGAAATAAGAGGAAGAAATTTCTGCTTCTGTGAATTTGCGCTCCCTAGCAAATTTCCACTAAGATCAACATGAATGGCATTTGTAGAAAGCAAGAACTTCTCGTCCAGATGGCCATCAAATTTATTCCCATGCAAATCAAGGACCTCGAGATTCGGTATCTGCTCAAGACCAGACGGGATCTTCTTGGTAAACCCATTACGTGAGAGATTAAGAGATACCAACTTTTTCAACTTGGTCAGTGATGAAGGCAATGGCCCAGAAAAGGAGTTCCGACTCAAATCCAGAGACTGGATAGAACTGAGCCCACCAATTGAATCTGGTATCGATCCAGAGAAATTGTTTCCAGCTAACGACAGGTTACGTAATCCCTGTAACCTGCCTATTTCAGGAGGTAAAGTAGAGGAGAACAGATTGTTCGACATATCCAGATAAAGAAGGCTCCTGAAGTCGGCTATATTGCTGGGGATTGTGCCTGACATGGAGTTGTTCGCCATGGAAAGTTTCACTAACAACGTTAGGTTGGCAAATACGCTCAAGTCAGCAATGGCAGAGAGACTCAGATTATCAAGAATAACCCCAGCAACCTTGTCACCATTGCAGACAATTCCATTCCAGGAAGAAGGGCAGCCATTGAAGTCGATAGACTCCTCATTCCAAGACTGGAGGATGTAACCAGTTGGGTCATGCGTGATTCCCTTCTTGAACTCGAGAAGTGCCAGAATATCCTGCGAAGGAAGCTGCCCCATAGCGGAGATGAAAAAGAGGGATACTGTTAAAAGCCAAAGGAGCTTCATCATTAGCTCTAACAATGACTTCCTTAAAGCAACCTGCGGCTCAATGCGGTGTAAATAATGGAGATTCCGAGCCCTGAACCCCCCAAGTAGCGAAAACCCGATTCAGCTCCAGAGGATCCACAGAAAAGCACAGGTAGAAAAGGACTGGTTTTTCTTTACAAATACAACTAAGAACTAAGCATAAGTCGCTATTGCTGAACCCCAAACTTCGAAACTTGTCACTCACCAGTGGTCGTACCTGATCATGGACGAACCTCGAAGCCCCAAGACATGAGGATACTGCAAACAGAGACCAGAACTCGAAACGCCCGGTTCTTTAGGCAGCGAGACCAGCAGCAACAAGCGACTCTCGGGAGTTGAAAATACCCGTAACTTACTTCCAGCTCTTCAGACACAGAAAGGACCTTTAAAGTTTTAAATGCTATCAAACTCAACGAGATGAACTGGGGAGAAAATGGGGAGTCGTTGTAAGAGATCCAACCATGAAATATTCAGCATTCTCTCCTCTGAAGCATTTACCGCCATTTTCTGTACCATGTAGCTATACGGGCTTCTCGAACCCTAAATGATGGAAAACCCACAAGACAGAAGAGCCAGTTCTGCTCATAGATTGAAGTCTTTTAACCAATGAAAACCCATTTCTTACACAGATTCAAAAGATGGTTAGACGTTGAAAACAACAGATTTACCGATCATTAACAGCACTCCTCTCTTCCCATTTCTTTTTGTGGGATACACAGATCACAGAGCATTACTGCATTAGAGGACAAGAAATTACAAGGAGGAAGCGGCAGATGATTGAAAAAAGAGAATCTTCAAATCTCCAAATCTTTCACTCCTACATCTACTGTATTAAATGCCAAGCGGGCCCAACAAAACTCTCGGCCGTGGAAACCCTAGTTTCAACACAAGCTTTCCCTCCTAATGCAGCCCAGAGAGCCCAAACTCTCCTTTAAGCAAAAAAGATTAAACAACTTTTTGTCTGCTCTTCCAACTCCCCCGACCTTCCCTCCCTTGTTGCAGATTCGGCAATTAAAATAAGGAACAAAAAAGGACCAAATTATTCCGCCAAAGAAACATGTGAACCCTGGTATTAGCAAAAACCCTAGAATAACCCTAATACCGGATCCACCCGAGCGGCATCGACCATCGATGCTCTGCAACTCGCATGAAATAGCGGGAAAATTGAGTTTTTCTGGGTTCGGGTTTCGCAGTAAATGAAACTTTACCCGCCAAAAAGCAGCACCTTTCCTCGAGGACGCGAACGCTTTATGAAATCCAGCTAAAATGCGCTTTCGGAAGCAACGCCCCCTTCCTCCTTCAGTGGGGCCAACAGTGGGGCGCGTTGTGCTGAGTGCCACCGTGGTGTGGTCCCCGCCATCCTTTGACCGGATTCAACGTAAGCGTAGGTTAGCCATGTCGCGACGACCGACGAGGCTGCAAGTGGATAACAATCGCTCAGGATCTCCCAGCTCAGGTGCTGGTGCGGGACGATGGATGCCCTCTGCTGGACCCCACCACCAGTGAGTATTAAAGTCAATTCACCCGGCAAGAGCACAGTGCGTTAGGGTACTTTGGTGAATGAAATATTCCTGCTGCCTTGTCTTTTCGGAATTTATTAGCAAAAAATGCCCTTGGAGCTCGCATCTTTTAATCAAGACTGAGGCTAAATGACTCATATGCCCTTGATTAACTGGGTGGTTAAGAGATTAGAAGCCTATCGGTGTGAAACGGTAGGATTGGAATCCTCTCTCTATCTCATCCTAATAAATAGAGATGAATGTTTCATTCCAATCAAAGGATGGGAGAAAAGGGGAAACTTTATATGGTCCTAGCACTGATAATTATAACTATTAATGATAGTAACGCATAGGTAGGAACCGCCCATACTAAATGGCTCTATTTATGGGCACATAAAAAAGGTGGAAAATGACTTGGAGAATAAATATTTATGTTAGAGAATGCATTGTCTTGAGGGAAAGTATTTACTTTCTAATTCTTTATATAWGGCATTTTAATTAAAGGTCATGTCCAAAGAAGGAATTTTAATCTTACGCATAAGGATTTTACTTAGTATACACCCCTTTCCCATGGTTGGAGGTGCCAATTTACTTTACATACTAGTATACTACCTCGTGGCACTGGCAGTTTGATAACGGCTGAAGTTATTTAATTTGAAAGAATAATTAAATAAAATAAGGGTCCATTTGGTTTTGGGAACACGGGTCTAGAATCGGAATTGGGATCTCATTCCATTCATGATGGAATGGCATTCTCACATTTGACACCTCTTCTTACCTGGAAATAAGAATCCATTCTAATTCTGATTTCAATTATGAACCAAACAGATCATAAAATTTTCAAATTTTTGGTCAAGTTTTAGTGAAAAAGTTTTTAAGGAGTTTGTGGGCTTTAATGGATGGAGATGTAATTAGGTAGAATTCCATACCTTTTGAATATTGTATTATTTAATTATTTTATCTACTAAAAGACAAAGCAACAAGCTATTCAGTTTAGCAACTTCAGCCATTATAAAATGGCCTCTTAGGACTGATGGCATGTTTAGAAGGACTGAAGCACTAGTTGAGCTAGCTTCACTAAACTACTCTAGAGAAGTCGCCAAAAGAAGCTTAAGCAAAAAATCATGTTTTTGGCTTTGAGACAATCAATTTGGTCTCTTTTGGTTTTTCACCAAACATGGGGTAAGGCTGTCCATGTGGAGCCCATCTCACAAAGCCAAAAACTTCTCATGATTCATGGAAAGCACATCTAAACGGGCTCTGGGTCTCAACTTCACCAAGGTTTAGGGGTAATAATAGGTTATAAATTGCCAACACCCAATTTTTGCTCGGTCCCTTCATCCAACATCTTTATACCCTTTTTTAAGACCCCAAAGCTTGAAAACTTAACCAAATCAACCTAACACATGTTGAACCCAAAATTCCCTCTTTTAGGTACAATCTACATGTCAAACATTCAACTAAATTATACCAATAAACCTAACATTTGATTAACAAGAACATTGAAATCAACATCTGACATTACATAGGCTTTAGTACCTGATCAATCACAATCCCTAGACTTAGGAAACTAAATCTTAATTGCACATTGAATTTTATGAACAAAACTCCAAATATCCACTATTCATCATACCAATTTTCTTTTCGATGGTCCTAATTTATGTAGGTTTGAACCTCAACTTCACAAAATCATACAACCCTTATATTCTTTACTGATAGAATAAGTTTTCTAAAACTTTCATCAGTTGCTAGAGGTTGGTGCTCACATCGAATGGGGAGTTAAAAATGAGAAGATCCACCTAGGTTTTTTCCACCATCAAGCATATATAAATCTACTAGACAAGATCAAAGAACACCATGTAGTTGCTATTGTACATCGACCTTCTTCATCAATTCAAAAACATCGAACTCTAATTGATCCTTTCAAAAGAATAATAAAGAGATGATTCACTCCACTCCCTCCATAGTCTTAGTAGCTTCCTCTACTAATCAAGAAGGGATGTTTAACACCTTTGCTGCCAAAACCAATTCCTAATTTTTATCAAAGAGCTTAAAGTTAGATAAATATTGCACATGTCACCAAAGACCGAGGCACTTAATAAACGATGACACAATTCTTAAAGTCAACATCCAAGATCTCATCAACAATGAACACTATCCATTAAAGCAACACCTAAATATATAATCAAAATTGTAATATTTCCGAGAACTATGACCGGTCTAATCCCTTGTGAAGGGTATGTAGGCAACTAGGATAGTGGTGCTTGGGTGTGAATTAGATAATAAAACAAAAATAAAACACTATAAATCAATCTAAGAAAATCCATTGTTAAGACTCTTAAATAAACACTTTTAATCTCCTCTCCTAAAACCTTAGGCTTTCTATAAAACCCCTTATAGGTTCCAATCCATATAGTCTGTGCATTGTTTGCATATCATCTTTGCATTACATGCACACATATTATACACCACTTTATACAAACTTCACTAACATTCATTCCATGCATATTTTCATGTTCTCTAAAGTCTTATGCTCCCTACAAAAACGATAACCACGTTAATTAAAGACCAACTTAGAATCCACCAAGAGATCAAAGAACTTCAAAAAGTAGTAAGCATGTTAACCTTCAATGTTGATTGGCTAATCCCTCGTACAGGAGCAACACCTCCAATCTTCACACTTCTCTTTTTCTCAAGGATTATGCCACCTACTCAACCATCCAAGAAAAAAATAGAGAAGTTCACTCTGTTACCTTGTTCACCTTCCTAGATTTTTGCCCATCTTGGTCAAGAAAGAATACCGTCATTTACTGTCCTAGAAACCTCCAAGGGATCCAAAGATAAGGGTGTCAATAGTATTCGGAAATTTGATTTTGAATTTGATATTCAATATAATAGAACTCAGATAATTCGAATATCATAAAAAGTCGAATTCGGATATGACCTGATTCGATGTGATAAATTTCCGATTTTGATCAATTATTTAATTCTTATATATAATATATAAAATATTTAAATGTTTTATATAATTTAGTTATACAATAATTAAATTATATAAATTATTTATATGCTTTATATACTTTATATAGATAAAAATATTTATTTACATATTTATTAATTACCTAAAATAATTAATTGGTTAAATTCAAAATGAATCGAATATTCAAATGTTTAATCAAATTCAAATTCAAATATTAATTTTCAATATCCATTGGAAATTTAATTGAATTTTCATATCGAATTTTCTAATCAAATTCGAATTCGGATATTGCTTGATTCGATTCAAATTCAATTTGTTTAAACCCTTACCCAAAGAAGTTCAATTATAAAGCTTACTATGTTTACCATCAAGGCCCCTTTAATATTTTAAGGTGCTCACCAATAAAGTTCAACTAGGTGCATTAGGTACCACTAGGATACCAAAGTTCAACTAGGTACCTAAGGTGCATTGAGTGCTAGGTGTGTTGGGTACGTATGGTATGTTAAGTGCTAGGTGTGTTAGGTACCTAAGGTGCACTGAGTGCTAGGTGTGCTAAGTGCCAAGTGTGTTGGGTACCTAAGATGAGGTGAGTGTTAGGTGCATTGGATACTTAAGGTGAGTTGACTACTAGGTGTGTTGGAACAGAAATATGATGTACTAGAGTTTTTTGGGTCTCTAAACATGGTAATAAGGTTTGATCGGTCATATAAAGTTTGGATAATGAAGATCTATGGTTGATAAACTCTAATAAATGAGATTTGTTGAAATAAAATTATGACTTGATGGTGGATCAAATGAGGGAATATTGGAATGAAATTTAGTGGGTGGGCATTTTTTAAATGTCCTAAATTTGATGAAAGAGACGGATCTTTGATTAGAGGTGTGGATTGAAAGTTTTTTTTTTATATTATAGCTTTAGCTTATGTTTCATCAACTAGTGAGAAGGCTTGAAACAAAACCTTACTTATTTAATGGTAAAATGGAGGAATTATGTCATGAAATTTGATATAATTGGGATTTTAGGTATTTGGATATAGTGGTGAGGTTTGGTTGGTCAAATGATTTTGGATGATGAAGATTTGTTAAAATGAATGAGACCTCAGTCCGACTTGTCATAAGAAATCCAACTTGTCACACAAAAGCAATTATAAAACCTCCACCATCAAGTTGATAACCTCTTCTCCTTATTGACTAGCAATTGTGGAGCACCTCAGTAGGAAGCCAAGGACCCTGAACATCCGACTGACCAGCCCGATCACATTAGTATCCATGTAAAATGGCCACCTAGGAACAATTCTTCTTGGATTGAAGGAAATCGGGCACATTAGTCGAACAACTAGTACAATGATTGCAACAACAATAGGACAATTCTTGGGATCCACCAAACAGGGATTGACAAACATGAACCCCCTCTGGTGAACTCTAGACCCAAGCCCAATTTAGTGGAGGATGATCATGACTAGTCCCCAAAACTGACTCGGCAACCAAACATCAACGAAGAGCTTAAGGACATGAAAGCATGGCTTTTAACAATCAGAGGAGGTAGACCATCATGGTGCAACTTCAAGACAATCTCAAACAACTTTAAGATGCCGAGCACACAAGCCTATGATGACGCAAGAGATCCTAAGAACCACTTGGGAAACTTTAGAGCCCTCATGCTTCTCCAATACAACAAGAAACGTCCATAAATGTAG